CACCCCCAAACGCCTTACAAGTCCCATCCCCAGTTACAGCCCTTGTATATGCCAGCTCCTACCACCACGCGCCTCTTGCTACAGGACCGCGCGTTGACCAGCTCTGCGTCTCTACAGAGAAAAAAGCCGAGGGCGCTATTGCAAAGCTTCTCGTTCATCTGGTCGGGGGAAAAAATGCAGCAACCTGGTACGGGTGCGTGCTGAAGGTTCAAAAGCCAAGATGCCATGAAAAGAATCACCTCTGGACAGTGCAAAAGGCTGTGCCGAAAGACAAAATGGTGATTGTGTCGTATAAGAAAAACACCTGCTCATCGTGTGAACCCCCATGAGTTTTAAGGAAAAATTTGGGTTCCCTGGGTTTCTCTTTAGAGCCCGAGATATTGCACCCAGGAACAGTGATTTAAGTGTATCACAGGATCAGAGCCAAAGGGACTTCTACTGTATCCAAAACATAAAGTTATAAAACTGAGGCCTGGTTTGACTTTTTTTCCCTAACATTTCTCTCTACAACTTTTATACCCCAAATTATTTGCATGCATGATGTAGATGATTTGTGGATGCGGGCAGATAATTAGTTATGTCTAAATCAAATTCATCAAATTGCATAATTACAAATAACGAGATCTGTCAGCTAACAGGAATAGGGTTCTAATGACCTAAACTATGTCTTGCAAGATAATAATGGAAAATGATGGTCCTTTCCAGTAAATGGAAATTCATGTAGTTGTATTAAGTGAAACTGTTGAATTTTCCATTTGCCCCTAATTTTGAGCAGTGCCACTGCAGTATTTATTTACCATTCTGTACTATTCTGATAGAAATGAATATTTTTTTTCTATGCACAACCCGGTGTTGGTAAACTCTAGTTGTAAGTTGCTTGAAAAAATTATCTGGAAGAAACTGTGAACTCATAAATATCAATGCAAGTTCTGAGTATTGAGAAGAAATCATTCAGTTGAAAATGCTGAGAATCCTGAATGTTGCCCAAAAGCTAGTCTGGAAAAATAACAGGTCAACACTGAATATTAATTGCATTTTCTGTATTTCAAAATCCAGAGATTTGACAAGAGAGAGAATTTGGAGATACAATTTGGAGATATAATTTGGATTGAAATACTTGAGAACATTTAATACTGTAATCAAAAATTATTAACTCGCTGCATTTTAATGTGGAATAAGCAGTTCTTCTCCTTCCCTCTTTTATTTATTATAAACAGAGAACCTTTGAGGCATGAGAGAGGCATTCATATAGGAATTCAAGGAATCCTCCTAGCGAAGGAGGAAATCAAAAATTAAAATACCAGAAGTAAAGGAGAGTTTGATTAGTTGAACAGTAAAGAAAGCAAGCTGGTGCCCACTTTCAGCCGTTCCCTCCAGCCTCCGAGATAAGAGGATATTCAGAAATTCAGAAGCAAATAAAAATATGTTAACAATACAAGTGTCCAGCCGAGGTCCTGTAACTCGCTGTATAAATTGTTCATTGGCATCGCCATGAAAGGATCGTGAGGAACTAGCACGGCTGTTTCCTCTAGCTTGAGACGAGACAAGACCTCCATCTCCAGAGAGGATGTGGGGAAAACTTGCCTCAGTCAGATATGTAGCACTCTGTGTGCTTTTATTAATGCCAGTTCCTGTTGCAAGCTAAAAAAGCAAGTGCTGCTAACTATTTTGCATAAAGTTCTCTGTCTCCCCACTTAGAAGTAACATTTAGGGAGGAGATAAAGTGAGAATAAGAGGAACAATGCGCATGATCTTTTTAGATAATTCTAACCATTCTACCCCTCAAACACCGCAGTACCAGCCCTCCTGGTGGAAACGCAGGTGGATTCACAGTCAGCAGGTTCTGCATGGACGAAGCTGCTGGCTGGCAACAGAAAAGCAAGCTAATCCAGACTTCAGTGCATATTTCTTTATGACAGGTTATTTCAACGTCGGTTTACCTTAAACACGTTTGCTAACCGCTTTCCAGCATACATATTTGTATAATTTCAGAAAAATTTGATACTTTTCAGTAGACCTACCACTACTCATTTGCTCATGGGAGAAGCGCAAATAAAAAGGCCGACCGTTCAAGGATAAAATTGGAGCCCTATGCAAGTCATTAGAGATTTCACCACTGACCTCAGCTACGTCAAGATGACACGAAACCTGCTCAAAGACAGACCTGAGACAAAAGGAAGACGCTGTGAAGTACAAGGCCCATCAGTCTGATTCATTCACAAGACTCAGTCCTTTTAGAACCTCTCTGTAAAATATTCTTACCATTCTTATTAATCTTACTTATTCTGAAAAAATACCTCTAGTAATATATAACTAAATAGTTGCAGCATAGTCTCTGAGATCTAGGTATCCTAATTGTATATTTTTTTACTTCCTTTTTTTTTTTTTAATTCTCTGCATTTCCTATTGTTTCATGAAACTATTTTTGATACTTTAGGAAATTTTTTAATAGTTTTTTCTTCTGCCTTGTGAATTTGAAAGCTAACACCAGTGAACTCCATTCACTGGGGTAACACAATATCAGCATATTTCTGAGCAAGTTAAAGCAGGACTATCAAAAACAGTCAAGGTGGAGAATGCTTTTTTTGCTGAAACTTCAGCTTCTAAAATCATATGACTTTTCTGACGTGAGAGTGAAAGAAGCCAGGCACTTTGTGCTCTTACACAATAGTAGGTTTCCCGACAGCATGACTTCCTCATTGTGAAATGCAGAACAAGAACAGTTGACACAACACAAACACTGTTAAGTCTTTCACAGAAACAGTATTCCCCATTTCTGATCCCAGTCAGATAATTTCTAGGGATTGAAAAAATGTATATTCATTAAATGTATGTAGTTAGGCTGAGTCTATTCTTTGCTAGTTTATTCAGATTCAGTCTCCCTACCAAAAGCCATGTCCTGCAGGATTTCTAGATCCATAACTTACGAAACAGATCTTAGCTTTGTATTTTAGAAATACTTCTGTTCTTTGGGAATCTCCATTTTTGCTCCAATAGAGGGTAAACTGAGCCAGTTAGGGTGTTTGCATAAATCCTAAATTACTCTTCCAGGACTCTAGGCGCTTTCCACTGCACGCCAAGGGATTTTCTTGGCTAACACCAGCCACCAGAATACACACTTTTTTACACAGTTCTCTTGTAGTATCATGTTCCATGCTGGCCCCTCTGTCTAAATGGAGGTGAACCTTGTAGGTGGTTGGATACACTGAAAAACAGGGTGGGAGTGTTTGGGAATCCAGGTTTTCAGGATTGTTACTCTGCAGCAGTAGCATGACTTAGTGTCTTCCCATATCCCAAATCACTCTTAAAACAAATCAGATTAAGCTAAATGTAAAATAAAGAGCTCCTTTACAGTATCTAAGAACGGACCTGACAGTTGCAAAGTTTATAGAAGAGAAAACCATGCCTATGCCAAAGAATTGTACTTCTCCTCTGGGTGGCCGAGCTGGTAGGGCCACAGAGATGCATGGTCATCTCCATCAGGATCCTGCTCTCGTTCTGCGGCACAGATCTACATCCGTAGGTAATGTTCTGAGGAAGAGCTGGGCTGGGGATGATTCCTCCACCTTTTCATACTCCAAAGCCATTTTGGGGAGTGTATCCAGACTGCATTTCTTCATCTCACCCACCTCTCTCCTCAGGGACATCCATACCTCCAGGGGAAGGAGCCCCAGCCTCCCTTACGGCAGGCGGCTGGCAGATCCCTCCCGTTTTGAACACGCTCCTGTCCTTTGTGCTTCCCCCAGCACCACCCCTTCCTCTCCAGCCAGGCTGGTCAACCACCGGGGTTACGGTGTGCGCGGCAGCTGGAAAACGCCCCAAGCCCAGACTTGGATGTTTTGAAGCCCCTTCCGTCGGGACGCTGCTGCCCAGGGGCCTGCTCTGGCGCCAGACACCCCCGCCCCGGCACGGCTTGGTACGGGTCACTGCCTCCTACTCCGAGCAAGGACAGAGCATGTTTTTTCCCTACGCGCACAGCGGTGAAAATTACCGTGCGGAAAGCGGCCGCCCTCCCGGAGCGCCGGGCCGGCGGCCGAGGCGGCGCCGGGGCCCCTAAGATGGTCCGCGGCCCT